GTTGGCATGCTCTTCAACTGGTCTTTCACCCTGGGTCTTTCTCTCGTCCTGCACTGTACTGTGTTTTGTTTTGCTTTATTTAAGCCTCTATCGGACCTTGACACCGTCCTGATTAAATTTTTCTGCCTTCTTGTTGTCCATGGGGATAAAGAGCATGCCCTTCTGATCCCAGCTTCAACTTTATACTATTTCATTATGTGCTAGCCATGGGGAAACAAACAAAAACAGCAGGGAAAAAACAAAAACAAAAACTGGACACAGGTCCCTGCTCCATGGAGTTATGACAAAGTAGGGTAAATACTATGAAAGAAGAGCTGAGGGTATGCCATATTATAACAAGGTGGGAATTTCAGAGGCCTGCCTGGATAAATTATAATTAAGTCGAGACCAGAGGATGCCCAGGAGTTAGCTCAGTTCAAGGTGAGAGGAAGCATGTGCTTGCTGGTGTTAGGAATGGAAAGGCCAACCTGGTAGGGGAGCTGTGAGTGAAGGACTATGAGAGTACTATCCCTGAAGGGAGAATAGATGGTTCAGTGTTTACTTACACACAGTCACCAATCATAGGCTTTAATTGATGGGTGGTGACATCTGATTTAAGTGTTTAAACTTTTCCTCCAGCTGTTCCAGTCACTTTAGATGCCTGTTTCTCATGCACATTGACACCCTTGCTCCTCGCCCTCTCCTCTTCCCTCACCTGGGGACACTTTTGCCTTTTTTCACTTCTGGGAATTAGCATACCACAGTGGCTGTAGGAGGAACCTGGAACCTGCCACTTTGAATGTGTGTGTGGTCGTGGGGTGTGTTACTTGAACATATTTGCATCTCTGTTGTCTTATAGAAGGAAAAAACAATAAGGTTATTATGAGGCTATCAATGAGATGGGGTGAGCCTAACCCATAGTAGTTCCTATAAAACTGTTTGCTGTTATTTTATTACAATTAGTAAGATTTGCCTCGAATGTCATTGTGTAACCTCTCACCTTTTCAGATATAATTAATCACTTCCTCTTCTGTGCCCTCACACTTTACCTTCCTCCTTTCTGGATTATGAACTCCGTAGGGCCACTGTGTGCATCCAGGTAGATGGGTTGACATTTCTGCTAACGCATTAACCATATGACCTTGGGAAATTGCTACTTTTTTTTTTTTTAAATATATTTTTATTGATTTTTTACAGAGAGGAAGAGAGATGGATAGAGAGTTAGAAACATCGATGAGAGAGAATCATTGATCAGCTGCCTCTTACACACCCCCTACTGGGGATGTGCCCGCAACCAAGGTACATGCCCTTGACCGGAATCGAACCTGGGACCTTTCAGTCTGCAGGCGGACGCTCTATCCACTGAGCCAAACCGGTTTCGGCTGTGCTACTTCTTGAGCTTTGTTTTATCTATGAAATAAAGGTAATATTATCCATCTTAAGGGTATTTTGGAGGTAAGGATCATATCTGTGCAGTAGTAAGTACTTAGTAAATGTATGTGTGTTTCTTCCCTTGCCCTCTACATTTCTAGCAACTAGGGCAGAAATAACAAATCAGTGAATAATAGCCTGATTATTCACTGATTGGAGGCTGAGTGAGGAATTGAATTAATAACTAATAAGGGTTTTATTAATGAGTAAAGCAACAGAACACACACAGATAACTAAAAAGAAGAGATTCTATTGGTAAATAAATATATTGTACTAGTACTTATGATACTGAGCAGATATGTCCTAATTTTGAAGTCCATTCAAATTATGTTTGTCCTGTGATATGTTTTTTAAATTTTATTTTAATTCATATTTTTGTTATTTATTTAATTTTAATTCTCACTGGAGGATATTTTTCCCATTGATTTTTAGGGAGAGAGGAGGGAGAGAAAGAGAAACATTGATGTGAGAGAGACACATTGATTCCCAAATGTGACCCTACAGGGTCTGGGGAATCTGCAACCAGGTCCATGCCCTTTATTGGGAATCGAACCTGCGATTCTTTGGTACAAGGGTCAATCTCTAACCACTAAGCAAAACCAGCCAAGGCCTGTAGTATGTTTTCCACTTTAGAGAAAGTTGAACATAATGATCTGAACTAAAATTGAACAGAGTGCAGAACACAATTTGAAAGCTATTAAAATAGAAGATTAAAAACAATCAATTAGAAAAGGACTGTTCACATAATTAAAGCTTAGTTTATTTTTATCTATAAAATTTGATAGACTGATAGATTAAATGATCTCCAAGATTGTTTTAAACACTCCAGTGTTAAGGTTTTGTAATTCTCTGATCATAAAGGCTTGTGAAATTAAAGCAGCTTAAGATACTAGATGAAATCCTAATGTGGAAGAGAAAGAAAAATTAGCAAAGAACTAAGTGGTTTTCAGTTGTGCCACTTAATAGAGAAGTAGACAGTCCTCCTATCTCAGCAATAATTGAGTTTTGGAATGATGACACAGAGTCATCAAAAGGTTAAATATGGTTCAGCATGCTCCTAAAAAGGCAAGAAAATGTGTAATGCATTTTTAGAAAGATTTTTACCAATAATATTTTAACATTTTTATTCATTTTTCTTCGATTTAAAATGTTAAACTTCAGTTATTTGGAAAATTCACTTATGTAACTACTTACATTCTCTTTTTGGAATAAACATATTTTAGGGACTACACACAAAATAGCTCATCACTCTTCTATCACCAAGTTGGCTTTTTTGGTGTCCTGGATTACAACCATTTCAGTCGATTTCTCTCTCTTTTATTCAACAAGCATTTATTAATCACCTGATATGTACCGGACAGCATTGGTTAAAGATAATAAGACTTTGTCTCTATCTTTAAGGAACGCACTGCCTAGTTTGGAAGACAAATGTGTAAATACATTAATTCAGATACAATGTGCTTAGTGCCATAATGATACACACACACACACACACACACACACACACACACACACACACAGTATAATGCCTGGACCTATTTGAATGGAGATAAGTGGAAAGAAGAAGAGCCTTTACAGGGAGAAAAATTTGAGTTAAATTTTAAAGAATGAGTAGGAACTTTCCTGATAAACACGGAGAGGGAAAGGGGATTTCAGGGAAAACAGTAGTATGTTCAAAGGCATTAAGATTAGAGATACCATGGGCAACCGGAAGTAAGAAGCTTCAGATGCTTGGAAAGTGCATATGGGGGAAAGGTGGTAGACGAGCCTGAAGAGGTTGAATCAGATGATACGTGCTTTTTTGCCATCCTCAGGGTTTTAGACTTTATTATATGCACAGTGAGGAGTGACAGTCACATTTGTGTTTCAGAAAATCCAGCCTGGTTGATAGACTGGACCTAAGCCAAAGTTGGAGGAAGGGTGAGCAATTTGGAGATTATTGCACCAATCTACAATAGATCAGGGCTAAAAAGATCCTGAGCAAAAGCAAAATTAGAGAAGGAAAGGAAGGAAGGGAGGGAAGGAGGGGAGGAGAGAGGGAGGGAGGGACGGAATGAACATAATGCTTCAAGGAAGTGGGATCCACACACCTAGAGGTTCATGTGCTGCGTGGTGGGATTCAGGTAAAGAAGAAGATGGGGTTGGGTAGTCTGGCTCTCTCTTGTGGGTGACCATCTTAGAGGCACCATGGACTGGGGGGTGGGCAAGAGCATTTGCTTTCCTGCTGTAAGTCCCACCACATCCTGTTCCCACTACCTTTGTCCTGGTAGAAAAGTGGATAGATGTGTCTTGGTTCCAGAAATGCAAAGCCATCAAGCATCTTTGTGGTGATAAGCATGAGGATGGGCATGCGCACATTTAGAAGAGCAGAGCAGAAAGCCAGAGGAGCCAGCTTCCCCGCACTATCCATGGGCAGCTGCCCTGCCTGCCTATATGGCATTTCTTACATGCCTCTGAATACATTTATAACCATTACAATGAAAAAAATGATCGGTCCATTTAAGTGACTTTTGCAATATCTTTGCGTTCATTTTTTACTTATGAACCCCTAGAAACAGATTTCTTTTAGTAGATTTATATATTGAATTTAATTGTTCCATTGGCTTCTAAGTTCTTTTGTTTTTTTTATAGAACAAATTACTTAAAAAAGAATCTTTGTCTTTACTGGCAGATACAAATGGAGAAAATGTGCATAGAAAGATAACTTATTTTGAATAAATTCCATAGGGAAATTTTATTGACTTTTAAATGAATTGCTAGATAGTAGATTTGATATTTGGTAAAAATTTAAGATTTAATAGAGCATTTTACTTTTGTTTTCTATTTACTCTGAAAAATATTTCTTATAATCTCTCATTAAAGAAGAGACTGGTGCCTGGCTAGCTCAGTCAGTAGAGCATAAGAATCTTAAAGAAGAGACTGGTTCTGTAGTTATTTTTTAAAGGAACATATGCATTGACTTTCTTTTTAGACATTGAGTCTAATAATAAGTATATCTTGAGTCCTAAAACAAAACAAAGCAGTGTATCCAGAATTTTATTCAAATTGAGTTTTTCCAGCTACCTTTGTGTCTAGTTCCATATTTAGAGACATTGCATCAGAATTAAAGGCTCTCTTTGGTCTCAAACTCTACTTAAAAAAAAAAAAAAAAAAAAAAAAGCAGCCATTGCTGTGGCTTCTCCAGGATGCTATGGGACAGGCATGGAATCCATCCTGGTGTTGTTTGAAGTCTAACTTCCATACATTCCACAAATGTTGTTGATCTAAACCTGATGATCTGTTTTTTAATGTTATTCAAAGGGTTTTTATGCTTGCAAATTAGTTTTCTAACAGCTCTTAACTTCGTGGCCATCACGTGAATAGTTTGATGTTATTATCCACTTTTCATTTAAGATAGTGTTCGCTGCCATCAAACAGAGCCCCGAGGGGATTTGGAAGGAAAGCTATAAGAACTGGAGGACAAGTAGGTCGCAGAGTGCAGCGCTGACAGAAGATGGAATGCAGGGCAGGGCCGAGCATCAGGAGACTTCTGTGCTATCCATAGCTCTCTGTGTGACTCAGTGTATGACCTTGGGCTACTTACCCAACAGCACTCGCCTCAGTTTCATCTTGGATAAAATGGGGCCAGGACTAGCCGCTAACGGAGAGTGGATTGTGGAGTTGCTATTCTCACAGCCTCTCGAATCTGGGAAGAATCTTCCAGTCATTCACTCCAACCCGAAGTAAGTCCCTGCCACAACGAAAAGTGGGTTTTTCCATTCTCTTACAACTCTGGTGTGACAGCGGACATCACCACCCCCATGAAGAAGCCCATTCCATTTTCCAAACACTTTTACTTGTCAATAATCTATCTCGAGAAATAGCTAACACAGGCACATGCATAGAACTAGCAAGTCAAGTAGAGGTTAACAGGGACTGGGGAAAGTGGGAAATGGAAAGTCCTGCTTAATGGCTACCGAGTTTCTATTTGGGGTGATTACAACATGTTGGAAATAATAATGGTGGTGGTTGCACAACCTTGTGAATATAATGAACACCACTAAATTGTATATTTTAAATGGCTGAAATGGCAAATTAATATTATATGTATACTAATGACCTGGTGCACAGATTCGTGCACATTGAAAGGAAATTAATTAGAAGGTGGCAGGTGGGGTGGGACTGGGCCAGATGGGCTGGACATGCCCTGGAGACAACCTCCTGCAGTCTCTTCCTGGAGTCTGTGGAGTGAGCGGGACCCCTCCAGCCTGGCCTGCCTCTTCTCCAATCTGGAACCCCTTGGGGGATGTCTGATTGCTGATTTAAGCCCGATCTCACAGGCAATCCAGGACTGCTGGCTACTAACCCCTCGCCTGCCAGCTTGATCACCTTTAACCATCTGCATGCCAGCCTCCTCGCCCCCAACTGCCCTTCCCTCCTGGACTGATTGCCCCTAACCAACTCTGCCTCAGCACTGCCACCATGGCTTTGTCCAGAAGGACATTTGGAAGGTCTTCCAGTCTAATTAGCATATTACCCTTTTATTAGTATAGACTAGAGGCCTGATGCATGGAATTCATTCAAGGGCCTCAGCTGCCTTGGTTGGCCCTCGCAGCTCTGGCTTTGTCCAGAAGGTTGTCTGGACAGTCGTCCGGAAGGTAGTCCAGGTGGTCATTCTGCTGCTCAGTCTAATTAGCATATTAGCTCTTTATTATATAGGATATATAAAACCATGATAAAAAATTGTCATTAGTCATCAGGAAAATGCAAATTAAAACCACAATAAAAAAATTCTATCTTGGTTAGTACTCTCGTCTCAATATGAAGATAGACCATGTTATCCAACTTCGGCAGAACAGGGAACAGTCTAAGGTCACATGCAGGGAGGAGGAGGGTAAAGATCTGAATTCAAGTCCTTGTCCCTCAGACCGTAGGAGTCCTGAGTCCATATTGCTGTCACTGTTAGGAATAGACTTGCTCTCACTATTTGTGATACTCTCCTTAATGTCTTTAGCTGGCCTATACAGGGGAGGGCAGAACATTTTTGCCACCAGTGTTCAATCTAGAGACTAAAAACTCACTTAATGAGGCCTGACATGGCTTCCACTTTTTTCCGATCACCATTTATCCCCCATACCCTTTTCCACTTTTCTCCTCCTCTCCATACCCCCACAATCACCACACTATTGCCCATGTCCAAGAGTTCTTTTTCTCTTTTTTCCTTTGTTGCTCAATCCTTCCATGCCCCCTGCTTCCCTCTTCCCCCACCTCCACCCAGAGTTGACCGCCTACTCTCTCTGAGTCTGTCTCTATTTTGCTTATTTGTTCAGTTTGTCCATTAGATTCCACATATGAGTGAAATCACATGGTACTTGTCTTTCTCTGACTGGCTTATTTCACTTACCATAATTCTCTCTAGGTCCTTCCATGCTATTGCAAAGGGTTACATTTTATTCTTTTTCTTTTAAATGGCAGAATAGTATTCCATTGCATAAATGTAGCTTTTTTTTTTTAATCCATTCATCTACTGATGGACACTTGGGCTGCTTCCAAATCTTGGCTATTGTAAATAACGCTGCAATGAATATAGGGGAGTATATATCCTTTCGATTATTGTTCCCAGAAGTAAAATTGCTGGGTCATATGGCAGTTCCATTTTTAATTTTTTGTGGTAACTCCATACTGCTCTCCATGGTGGCTGCACCAACCTGCATTTCTGCCATCAGTGCATGAGGTTTCCCCTTTCTCCAATATTTGTTTGTTGATTTATTTTTTTATTTTTTTTTAATGTATTTTTATTGATTTTTTACAGAGAGGAAGGGAGAAGGATAGAGAGCTAGAAACATCGATGAGAGAGAAACATCGACCAGCTGCCTCTTGCACACCTCTACCGGGGATATGCCCGCAACCAATGTACATGCCCTTGACCAGAATCGAACCTGGGACCTTTCAGTCCGCAGACCAATGCTCTACCGCTGAGCCAAACCGATTTCGGCATTGTTTGTTGATTTATTTATGACAGCCATTTTGACAGACATGAGCCAGTATCTCATTATGGTTTTAATTTCATTTCCCTGATTATTAATGACATTGAGCATCTTTTCATATATCTATTTGCCATCTGTATATCCTCTTTGGAGAAGTGTCTATTCAGGTCCTTTGTCCAATTTTTAAAATTGGATTGTTTGTGTTTTTGTGTGTTGAACTTTATAGGTTCTTGATACATTTTTTATATTAACCCCTTAGCAGATGTATCTGCAAATACGTTCTCTTAGTGTTTTTATTTTTATTTTTAAACATTAAATGGAGAGGGAGAGAGAGATAGAAACATAAATGATGAGAGAAAATCATTGGTCAGTTACCTTCTGCATGATTGGGAATCAAGCCTGCAACCTGGGCATATTCCCTGACCAGGATTTGACTTCCTGGTTCATAGGTCAACGCTCAACCACTGAGCCACTGAAGCTGGGATCTTTTCATTTTGTTGATGATTTCCTTTGCTGTGCATAAACTTTTAGTTTATCTTTACTTTTGTTTCCCTTACCCAAGGAAAGATATTGCTGCCAAAAATATCCAAGATTTTACTGCTTGTGTTTTCTTCTAGGATTTTTATGGTTTTAAGTCTAACATTTAAGTCTTTAATCCATTTGAGTTTATTTTAGTGTGTGGTAAAAGATGGTGGTCTAGTTTCATCTTCTTTGCATATATTTGTCCAATATTTCCAACACCAATTATTGAATAGATGTGTTTGCTCCATTGTATATTTTGTCTCCTTTATCAAATATTAATTAACTTTAAATGTGTGCATTTATTTATGGGATCTCTATTCTATTCCATTGATTTATATGTCTGCTTTTATGCTAGTACCATGCTGTTTTGATTACTATGGCCTTGTAGTACAATTTTGATATTAGGTAGCATGATTCCCTCAACTTCGTTCTTGTCAAGATCGCTATTGCCATTTGGTGTCTTTGATAGTTCTATATAAATTTTTGGAATTTTGTTTTAAAAATTTGGAGTAGTAGTTTTATGAAATGCACCATTGGTATCTTGATAGGAACTGCATTGAATCTGAAGATTGTTTTGGATAGTATGGACATCTTAATGATATTAGTTCTTCCTATCCATGAACATAGTATAGGCTTCCACTTACTTGTATCTTCTTCATTTTCATTCGTCAGTGTCTTAATATTTTAAACAAGTCGTTTACATACTTGGTTAAATTTATTCCTATTGAATAGATATTTTATTCTTTTTGAAGCAATTGTGAATTGGACTGTTTTCTTAGTTTCTCTTTCTGATAGTTCATTATCTATACTAATACAAGGGTAATATGCTAATTAGACCTTCTCTTTCTGATAGTTCATTATCTATACTAATACAAGGGTAATATGCTAATTAGACCAGATTGACCAGATGTCTGAAGTTCTTTTGGATAAAGCCATGGTGGCAGGGGCAGAGGCAGTTAGGCACCCACGATTGGGCCTAAACCAGCAGTTGGACATCACCCGAGGGGTCCCAGATTGGAGAGGGTGCAGGCTGGGCTGAGGGGAACCCCTCCCCATGCACAAATATCATGCACTGGGCCTCTATTTTGTATATAAAAATGCAACTGGATATTTATTTTGTATCCTGTGACTTTACTGAATTCAGTCACCACTTTTAGTAGTTTTCTGTTGGAATCTTTAGGGTTCTCTATATACAGTATCATTTTATCTGCAAATAATGACAGTTTTACTTATTCCTTTCCAATTTGGATGCCTTTTATTGCTTCTTTTTGTCTGGTTGCTGTGGCTAGGGCTTTCAGTACTATGTTGAATAAAGGTGGTGAAAGCAGACAGCCCTGTCTTGTTCTCTGTCTTAAGGTGAACACTTGTAATTTTTGCCTATTGAGTATGATGTTGGCTGTGGGGATTACTTTTTTGGCAATCACAACATGCTGTTGATTCATATGGAGCTTTTAATTAATAAACTTACTTCCTCCACATTCACTCTTAAAGCAGGTTCATCTCCATTCCTAAATTTGTGTGAGTGGTGTACTAGATTTAAATGCAAAAACATGACATTTTATTCCCATATAGTAAATGCATATTGTTGCTTTTTTACTGATTGTTCCATTCTCTTATGATTATTTTGAATCTTGATTGTGGAATGCATCATCTTTGTTATTCCTTACATCATAAAATGTTATTCTAACTGTAAATTAAAAGGACCTTAATTCCCTTATCCAAGTTATTGATAAAAAGATTGAGAAGGACTGGATCATACACAGAGGACTGGATCATACACGATTTCACTGGTGATTTTTCTCTGGTGTTATCCTGTAGTAACCAACACTTTCATATAGTTCTTACTCTATCCCAGAAACTGTTTAAGTATTTTATACTTTGAGTTGAATTTTCATTGATTCGCACAACACCCCTACAAAGCATTATTGTCATAATGTTGATTTTACACATGAGGGAACAAAGCACAGAGAGGTTAAGCAACTTGCTCAAATCACTCAGTTGGAAAGTAGTAGAAACAGGATTCAAACTGTGTGCTGTGCTTCCAAAGTCCATGTTTTAACCACTGTGTTGTATTGCCACTGACATCATCCATAATTTCAGCCTACATTGGGATAGGATAACATAAAGGACGTGATTGCCAAAACCAGTTTGGCTCTGCGGACTGAAGAGTCCCAAGTTCGATTCTGGCCAAGGGCATGTACCTTGGCTGCAGGCACATCCACAGTGGGGGGTGT